CTGTCGTGCCTTGGGAGAGACACCTCAGGGAGAGCAACAGAGGAGGGATCCCTCTCCCAGGACGGACAGACGTGCAATAGATGCCGTGTGTAAATCAAAGAGATAATACATTTACAACATAGATAGACCACATGTTTGGAAATGCATGTGTCTATAATAAGAAGATGAATCCACAAATAAATAAGATGTATTATTATTATTATTATAGAAACAAAATGATATTACGAATAATATAAATGTTCGCCATAACTTTGGTCAAATATGCCTTTAAGATAGAATTGAAATCTAATTCTATCTTTTTGATTGATTGATTGGTTTCAAAGCACACAAAGAGTTGAACCCTCATGTATTTACAAAAGCCCAAATACAGTCATTCTCTCCCAATGTTGGCAAATAAAATCTGCAATCTTTGTTAATATGACAGTAAAACTAAATGTCACCAAGCTAACACAATAAACAGAGTGGCCTTAAACCTAATGGTCTGTTTACAACATGGCTCAGGTTTTTAATTGTGCTTTTGTGGTGCATATTGCATGCATTTGTAATTTAATTACTATTAAGTTGTTCTTTCAAAACAACAACCTTGAGCCTTTGAGGCCTCCGAGGCTCTGGGGCCACTTTGTTGGTTGGTAATTCAGCCTCCATATTAAATATACATGTTGAATTCATTTCAAACTTAGTAACAGTGTTATGACCTGAATAATAACTCAAATTGAAAGTATCTGGAGAGCTGCTGTACCTTGCTGTCATATGTCAAAGAAAAAGAGCAGGTCAAGCAGTTGGATACAAATAAATTCCAGTCAATATTTTGTTGACCGAGGTCTGGCTCATTCACTGGCACTGATGGATCCTCAGTTCACTGCTCACAGTAATAAGCTGCAGCTGGAGCTGGAGCTGTCCAGTCAGGGAGGGAAATGTAGCAAGAAGCATATTTGGGAGGACGATAAGGAGCTATGGAGCTAGAGCCTGAGTGTATGTGTGTTAAGGTGTACGGATGGCCAGTTAAAACCCTCCATCCTATGCCGGTATGCAATAGGTTAAGAGGGAGAAGTACAGATAACATCACAGGGTTATAAATCACAGTCAGGAAAGAGGAATGCATTTGGGACAGCATTTTTCTATTCCCTATAGCTCACTTATATGAGTTCCCTAAGTTTTTGTCCTGTTTTCAAACTCTGCTGAATGAAATAAAGCTTCACAGGCTGCCCCAGAAAGCCACTAATGCATTAAGGAACCAAGAAGGAGCCGCTAAGACTATGCTGAGCGATGGGAGCATCCGTAACCACGGTCAGAAGGACTCATGAGCTAAATTATGGACTTCAATAATGTTGAGCTGGTTCCTACATCTGCCACAACAGACACACACACACACACACACACACACACACACACACACACACACACACACACACACACACACACACACACACACACACACACACACACACACACACACACACACACACACACACACACACACACACACACACACTGTGGATATAGCTGCACAGATTGCTCTCCACAGGCACTGACGCACCCACCCACACACACACACGCTCAGTCAGTGTCTTGTGGGTGTTTACAAACATTCATTGCTACAAAATCCCTTGTGTATTGACCAAAGACACTGCTGCTGTGGGGACACATATTCTTAGCTGTGCTGTTTCACTTTCACTGGGTGTCACTGTGATGAAACTGGATAATGTGCACATGAACATCCTCTCCTGCTACCAATCCCTGCTCTCACTGCAGACAATTCTTTCTTACATGGACAGATATTAGATACAAATAATCTATAACAATGTATAGCCACTGTTTATCAAAGGAACATATTCATATATCAGACTTAATGTCCAACATATTAATGTGTTGTAGAATAGCTCTGCACTCATAATACAGGTGTATAGAATTATGCACAACTTGGATTATTTTCTAATTGGATAGATGTATGTAGACACACAACATTTAATTTGTCAAGTAAATTAGAAAAGGTTTTGAAATGGAGGCCACCTACTGAAAATTAGCCAGTGTATTCTGAAAGAGACATTCTTTGTGTAACAACTATTCACACTTTAAGACTGAACGGAACCAAAATGAAGGTGATCTTTCTTTGAGTCTTCCTAACAAATGAACAAGGAAGCTGAGGTTCACTTAGCCTGTAAGCAGAATTGTAATCAAGCTCTGGAGCCTTTCATTTGTCTCACTTAGGTAGACGAGAGCATTTCTAACTGAACATCATTACACCCAGGCTGCCTGAAAATGTGCTTTTTGATCTTCTTCCAAGTGAACTCGAGTGCATTTTGTTAGGAGGGAAAATAAAATCCAAGCCAACTTCAACAAACAACTTATAAACTACACATTTAGGGGTACATGAACAGACTGATTCTGGTATTGTTACATTTGCTGTTGGTAAAGACAGTGAATATGATGAAAACAGCAAAGAGAGCCCATTCATTGATATGTTGATATATTAGCAAAAACAAATTTAAATAAATCTGCAACAATTTGAATCATTTATAGATTTTTTCAGCAAAATGCCAAGAAGTCGGAATTTATAAATAAGTGAACAGTCTATTTATTTTGATAGCAAACCTATATAAATATTTAAAGTGTGCTATATATATCAAATGTATTATTGTTCTTCCCAAGAAGCAATTACTTGTCAAGTGTTTCAAGTGCAATTGGGCAAATAAACACTAAAACTGCAAAACACAGAGTTGAAAGAGTATCTGACTCATCTGTGACCCACAACCTCCTCAGCTCTCAGTGGACACTAAAGGGCCACTGACTCCCTGAGTAATCTAAACACAAGGTTTACATGTGTGCACCTCAGCCTGCCCCCTCTGAAAGGAATGTAAAGGTTGTGGTGAGGAACACCAGCAGCAGGATCTCCACTGAGACCAACAGCCTTCACACTCACTGCTGTGAGTCCATCAAGATACAAACGCCTCTGTTGTCTGGTCTAATCGAGTGTCACCTTGACAAAGTGGCCACAAGGGCTCCATTGTCCCATTTTGATTGAGTGACAAACAGAGACGCTCACACAGAAGTACACCGAAGTACAGTCTCTAAGGCTTTGTTTTAATTATCCGTCAATTACATTCTCTGTTAAGCAGACTCTCTATTTACATGAGAGAGGGGAATAATATGTTATATCACTAATACTCACTGAGATACAACCAATAGGCTGCTGGTTGATGTCATGTTATGCTACTTTAAGTATTATGGAGGCAGGTTAGAAAGCTGAATGAGGTCCACACAGCCCTGAAGTGGGTAACCGTCATGAATCATCTGACGGAACCCAATGAAAAGATTCAAATCAGCATCATGCTTTTATTGACCAAATCTAATGTTGCACACAACTGTATCCTGTAGCTGGGATCAAGCCTGGCAGACATTGTTCTTATATAGGTCTACAGTATGTCTTTTAAGTTGAAAGAAAAATACAGATGAAGAAAGTTGAAGGATCAAAAACATGACCCTTTCTGGCTTGAGGTTGTCAGCACTAACATACAGTCTGTGAAAAAGTATAGGAATGGTTTTATAACCTTTGCATAGAGCATGGTTACGCAAAAAAAATGACACTCCCTTCGATACAACCAACAATTACCGCTTATAAATGACAGGTTGACAGAATTGATTTTAGACCAAAAACCAAAAATGTTGCATAAAGATCTTTCCAACCAAATATCAAGATCAGATTCAAGCCTATAATTTTTCAAACAGTGTTTTATGAAAGCTTTTAAGATGGATTAAGTGACTAATATCATCTACATCTATGAATAACTAGAATACCATCAGGATTTAGTTGAACTCAAATGTTGTTTTACTTAAACTATCAAGTGACTGCATACTCCTCATTTAGACAAATCTTGTTGAGACTCTCTTGATCAACTTTTAATTATGTGGCTTTTCTTATTCAAAGCAATTCATCTCTGTGCACAGTTTTCTTACCTTTGAGACGCAAACCTCTGGTGGCTCGATTTGTCTTTCTCCCTTATTGCTCAGGCTTATCTTCTTCTGGGCTCATTTGGATAATTACCATTTAGTACGCAATTAAATGACTTAGTATTCACCAAAGGGAGTGGAGTGGCGTAGTAAACCTTCACATCACTCTCTCTGTATTATAATGTGTGTATACCTGGGTGGAAAAACACTTCAGTAATAATCTTTGATAGTAAGACATACCATGATTTGTTTGTCTGTGTATGTGTGCATTTCTTACCCTAGTCCTGCCAGATCAGACACCAGGTTGCCAAGAGCAGCAGCTGTGGAAAATGAGAAACAGACATGATTACAAAATGAGTTGAGAAATGAGAATGGAGGTTTGTATCGAGGACAGCCACAAGTCAAAAGACGCAGAAGCTGTGTAACCTGAGCGATTCATCATTTGAAACACAACAAATGACACTTCTCCCTGTTCCACTCAGAGGCATGTATATCTTCAGATGAATGCATTCCACTCACTATCATTATGTAAGGCGTGGTGTTGGGAAAGACCTAGTGAACAACATCTGGAATGTGGATGTAGTGCAATACATGTGCATCAGAATGAAGTCAGCATAAGAATTAGCCGAAAAGTATGAAGTCTTATAATCGTTTATAAGTTAAAATGATATGCATTGTGGGCTCATTGAGTAGAAAGATGCAATGCTGAAGACCACAGCGCTGTGGACTCACTTCTGGGCTGAATAACTTCACATGAATAATTAGTAAAGCAGAAGTGTCACAGGAGAAGAGGATGAGGGTAAGTTGGAATGGGTAATTAAAACAAGAACAAGGTGCAGAGCTATGTGTTGATTATCTCTGAATATATCAGGGATGCTGTCACTAGGAGAAGCAGAACTGGAGGGGAAAGACCAGGAGCAGGGAGACGTTTTTTTAAAAAGACTACTTGATGTAGTAGTGGCTCCTTAATGAGATAAAGTTTTTGCTTAGCTCGTGTGCTCTCTGTTGACCGTGACCCTGAGTTCAGGCTTATGTTGCTGCAGGGTCACATACATCCTCAGGGGAAAAGAAACAAAGCAGCAGTTCTGTCTCCGAAGACACTTCTCCATCTAACTCTGGCAGGAGGTCAAGCTTTCTCCTTAAGTAGCAACAAGGTTATGTGTAACAACATATAAATAACCCAAACTGGTTGCAGAGACACGCTTCTTAGAACAATCTGTAGTTATACATCTGAACAACAATCACATAGGCACAGACTAATTAAGATAAGACATGAAGCAGGCACGGTCTAATTAGTGAAAATGTGTGCTGTGATTTTTACCATGTGTGGCAGCAGGCCAATGACACTGAACTGGTTCAAAAGAGACTCATCTGCCTACAGGTGCATCTTCATTTGGCTACAATAGAGGATGTTTGCATGTTGCTCTGTGAGAAGCTCTTTGATGACTTTGTCATGACTTCAAGGGGAAGGACAGCAGCAAGGCAAGAGGGAGAAAAATGGGCATGTTTGTAATTTAGGAAAAAACAAAGTAGGTATAAATGAGGAGATTGTTCTGATATTTCAAAAGCTTGCACTGAGCAGGATCCCAGTCTGACTGTGACTAATGGCAATACCAAACTATATAACTAATTGCCTGGTTGCAGCACACACACACACACACTCAAAATATGTATTTTCTTCTGTATATTCTTTCTAAATATGCAACATCAATAGTTTCCTTTTTATGGAATTAAAAAACAACTTTCTCTCGCCCTTTGCTGTTACACTTGCTGTTGCTAAACAATCTGTTCAGGGTCTCCAGGTAGTGATTAAAACATGTATAATGTAATAATGTGCTGTTGTTATACAATATAGTACCTTGTGTAAGCCCCTGAGGAGGCAGATGTAATGAAGAGCCCATCAGGCCTGATTATAGGTCCATGCTCAAATATAATTACACGCCATGGTCGGCTGTTTGCTTTTAACTTGCTGTTTCTCCGGATGCTCTGCATTAGATTAAGACCCCATTTACACGCAAACGCATGCGAAACGCAAACGAACCGAATACGATATCAAAAAAGTATTCCGTTCACACGAGACCGCTCGGGAGCGCTGGAGACACTGTAGTACATATGCCGGGCCTGTAAGTGGCGCTGTACTTTCGCCACAAAATACACCAAAAGCAGCGAAGAAGACCCCCGAGCATGGTTGCCCCAGCGCCATATAGATAGATAGGTAGATTCTATTATATGGCTCTGGTTTGCCCTTCTGTTTATGCCCCGCGTGGATTTAGCAACATATAGTTAATGTAGTTCTCCATGTCCACTTGTAGCTGATGGTTGTNGGGTTACAAATGTACATTTACACATTTTTTACAATTTTACCTTACAAATTAAAACAGTGGATTTAGTGAAGTATCAGCCGGGGTAAGAAAAGACAAACAACAGGAAATTGACTACAAAAGGACACAAAAGGACACAGGGTACAGATTATAAAGAAAATGCCAGTTTGAACAGGTGGGTTTTGAGGCGGGTTTTGAATTTTGTTATGGAATCAGACTGTCGGATGTGTATTGGCAGGGAGTTCCAGAGTCTGGGAGCGGAGCAGCTGAAAGCTCGAGCACCCATGGTTTTGAGGCGATAGCTTACATATAAATCCTCCTCCACAGTGAGGTGCAATCCTTCTCTCACACCAACAAACGAGGTGGTTCTCAAGCAATTCTGTGGAATTTGACTACCATGGAAGACACTGTTTTGAGCAGCCTTGCAGTTTGTCCATCAATCTTAATAATTAGATCAATAAATGATGTTGTATATCAGAGAAGGACTGACTTCAGACAGAGTTTTTCTATTTTCACCACAAAAAGATTCAGATTTCCTTCCCTCGTTCTTTTATCACATGATAACTTTATGATGGATAAATATCTCACAAAAACTTTCTAGACCTGCAGTAAAACGAGAATACTGTCTGCTTGTACATTATACCAATGTCTATTGTTGGACAAATGGGCCGTAAAATAACAAATGGCAGGCAGTGGGAAGATTTTATCGGTGTCTCTTGCTTTGAGCTGCAAGGATCACTTACCAGCTGTAAGTCATGGTGATTGATGTTTATGAGCAACACCCATTTATACCTGGAGGCTTTCTACAACAACAATAACACACACAGCCACCCATTACTTTGCATAGGTTAACACACACAGGATTTACTACATATAGGTGGGTATGAATCTGCGGATAGGTGCCTACAGCTGTAAAAAGGTTGAAAACAAGGCAGGTGAGTGTAAAAGAGATGAGAGGAAAATATATAAAGGTTTCAGAGCATTTATTCAGTCTGATGTGTTAATGCAGGATGTCCAGGATGTGTTAATGTCTATTAAAAAAAGTGAGAACGTTGTATTAAAAAACATAATGAAATATAAATATAGGAACCTAATGAAAAGCTTATCATTTAGGGAAACCATTTATCCCATCATTACCTAGGTTTAAATGTTGTAACTGGCACCACTCAGCAGTAGCCTATTTTTGAATCCTAATCTTTATTGAGGCAGCTGAGCTTTATTCTCTCCTGAAGTTATGATTAGTGGACTTGACTACCCACCTTGACACTGGTGCTACATCACTCGTGACTGGGCTAGATAACTGCAGCCCTGATTTACACCTCAACACGTCCCCAATGTAGCAGCAATGAGAAACAATACATCTGCTGTGGAAATTGAGGGAGTGATAAAACTGAGATGAAAAACTGGAGTTGAGACCAGGGGCCTCATTTATAAAGGGATATACGCTCAAAAAATGGCGTACGCCTGTTTCTACGCCATGTTTGCGATTTATAAAATACTAACTTGGCGGGAAAACGTTGTTGATAGTGCTACAGATGCCCTGCGAATAAAATTAGACTCTGTTGCTCCTTTGAAAAAGAAGAAAATAAAACAACATAGACTAGCTCCATGGCATAATGCCGAAACCCGCAAAATAAAGCAAAAGTCGAGACAACTTGAAAGGATATGGCGTTCCACTAAACTTGAAGAATCTCGTTTAAGTTGGCATATTACTCTCAATGAATATAAGAAAGCACTGCGTAAAGCGAGAGCAGCCTACTACTCTTCATTAATAAATGAGAATAAGAATAATGCAAGATTTCTTTTCAGCACTGTAGCCAGGCTGACAGAGAGCCACAGCTCGACTGAGCCTTCTATTCCCATAGCACTCAGTAGTAATGATTTTATGTGCTTTTTTAATGATAAAATTGTTACTCTTAGAAACAAAATCAATGACCTCTTGCCTTTGACCAGTATAGTGTTATCAACAGCTCCCGGAAACGTAAGTTATAATATTACACTAGATAGTAAACTAGAATGCTTTTCAGCCATAAACCTTGAACATTAAAGTTCAATGATTTCTTTCGTGCTAACCAGGGGCGTATTCAACTAAAATGCAACGAGGTCCAGTTTTAGAGAAAATCTCCCCACCTGCGCCAAAGGTCCGGAACCTATCAAAATGTCGTAACTTGCTTTTTATAATTAGTGTGAGTTTTAGGGTGCATAGTTTTGAAGTGGAGCCTGCTGTAG